CCTCTTAGCATTCTCGCACGCTATGTTGCTCCTGGGAGACACAGATCGGAGCACATGGCTGCAGCGAAGAGGGTGTTACGCTACTTGTGCAGTACGTCGGGCATGGGGCTTGTGCTTGGAGGGCAGAGTCCAGTGGTCCTCACTGGGCACGCAGACGCTTCTTGGGCTGACGACCAGGCTACGCAGCGGTCGTCACAGGGTTACACCTTCAGCCTTGGTTCTGGCTCTGTTTCGTGGCGGGCTACCCGCTCGTCTTCTGTTCTCGGCTCCAGTTGTGAGGCTGAGATCTACGCTGGGGCCATGGCTGCACAGGAGCTTCGCTGGCTCACCTACCTGCTGACTGACCTCGGAGAGCCGCCTCGTTCTCCTCCAGTGCTGTACGTAGACAACAAGGCCATGCTGGCCTTGTGTCGAGAGCAGAGACTGGAGCACAGAACGAAGCACATTGCTCTCCGCTACTTCCTTGCTCGTGAGCTACAGCAGCGTGGTCAGCTGCGGCTTGCGTACGTGGCCTCTCAGGCCAACACTGCTGATATCTTCACCAAGGCACTTGCGCCTTGTGATCATCAGCGCTTCTGTACTCAGCTGGGTCTTGTGCCTACCTTGCCTCACTTGCTCACCCTTTGACCTTGTTTGTACTGTTGCATATATATATACGCCTGCTCTTGCTTGTCTAGCCTTATATATATATGTGTCATCCTGCATGTGAACTGGCCTTGTGGCCTTGAACTTGTGCTCGGAATGTGTGGTGACTTTGTGATCCACCCTGAGCTTGCTTTGCTTTGCTTGACTGGTCTTGTGACCCCTTGTTCTCCCCCACTTTGCCTATGGGGGTGTGTCAGATTTATATGACATAGCTACTGTAGGCTATAGTGGGGTAGCACATATGGGGTACAGTTTTCTAGGGTTTGCATTTGTACCCAACTTTCCCTTAGTCAATTCATTCTCGTTCAATTCCACATGTAGGTGACTGTGTAGTGGAAGTTTGACTCGAGGAAATCGAGCCAGCGAATCTGTCGTGGGTTGAGGTGTGGCTGTGCGCGGAGGTACTGTAGTGATTTATGGTCTGTCCGTACTGTCACGCCTGCGCCGGTCAAGTAACAGCGCCACACTTTGAACGCGTGCACGATCGCAAGCATTTCGCGGTCGTGTATCGGGTAAATTTTCTCGGGCGGATGCAGTTTTCGTGACTCGTATGCGATGGGCTGTAGGCCGTTGCCGAAGTCCTGTAGCAGTACGGATCCGATGGCGATGTCGCTTGCGTCTGTAACTACTTCGAATGGGCGGTGTGGGTCGGCAATGCGCAGTACGGGCGGTGAACAGAGAACATTTTTCAGGGCAGAGAAGGCAGCATGCTCTTTCTCCCCCCACGTAAAAGCGACCCCCTTCCGTAACAAGTCCGTCAGCGGCGCTGTTAACCGTGCCATGTCGGGGACGAACCGACACGCGTAATTGACGAACCCCAAAAAACTCTGCAGTTCCGTGATATTTGTCGGGGGGTGCCAGGCTTTCACCGTGTCCAACTTCTTCGGGTCAATTTCGACCCCAGCCTCTGAAATAACGTGCCCCAAAAACTATAGTCTGTCCTGAAAAAACTCGCACTTGGAACCCTTTGTCAGTAGCCGATGCTTGTCTAAAATTTTAAAGACTGCTTCCAGATCTGCTAAGTGCTGCTGCTTGTCGCGACTGTTGACGAGGATGTCGTCGAGGTAAACTATCACGCATTTATCTAAAAGTGGCCTAAACGCCTCGTTCATGGTCACCTGAAATGTCGCTGGTGCGTTGGTTAGCCCGAAGGGCATCACGGTGTACTCGAACGACCCGTACCTAGTCCGAAAAGCTGTTTTGGCGCAGTCCGATGGTTCTACTCTAATCTGATGGTAACCTCCCCGTAAATATATTTTCGAAAAAAACCCGTGCTGTTCGCAGTTGGTCTATCAGTTCGTCGGCGCGAGGAATGGGGTACCGCGACTTGACTGTTACCCTGTTGAGCGCTCGGTAATCGATGCACATGCGAAACCCTCCGTCTTTTTTTGGCGTGAACAGTATCGGTGCGGCGAACGGTGACGAGCTCGGTCGGATGAATTTCTTCTCTAATAGATAATCTAGCTGCTTCCTCAGTTCGTCGAGCTCGGGTTGTGTCAGTCTGAACTGGCGCTGTACAGTTGGTTGTGCCCCCGGTTCTAATTCTATTCGGTGGTCATGTGCTCGCTGAGGTGGCAATCCTTCCGGTAAGTCGTCGCGAAAAATCTCCGGGTATCGTTTCAACAGTTCCTGTAGTTCGGGCGGTACCGCTGCTAGCAGTTTCTTGAAATCACTCGGCTGCTCTTCTCCCTCTACCACTGCAATGTTTACTGCGTACACGTCAGCTCCAGCAGCGACAGCCCATTTCATGGTGACGGCGTTGACGTGTACCGTTGAAGACTCGGGCGACTGCCAGCAAGGTAGTTCGACCCAGTTACCGCTACTTCGCACAGTGCAGCTACCCGTCGTCCAGTCAATTCGCGGGTTATACCGTCGCAGCCAATCACGTCCCAGTAAAATGTCGTGCCCATCCAATGTCGTCGCGTGCATTTCCTGTGTAAACCCAAAATTCCCCCCGCAGCGGACTTTGACCCTCTCCACCTTTTCCCGTATGGCCAGTGGCGTGCCGTCAACTAAGCGTGCATCTATCTCAGGTAAACAACGGCTAAGTGTCAGTTGCAGTTTCCGTGCGGTTGCGGTAGTAACTAAACTGTGACTTGCTCCTCCGTCGATAAAAATCTTCACTGCTGCTCCCTGTATTTTCCCGTGGATCAGTACTGGGCAATCCGTCGCTGTACCCTCCTTATTCGTCCGAGCCCGATCGATAGCATGAATCGGTACTGTGACTCGGTGAGGGTCGGTGGGGTTGGGCGAGCAGGCAGTCTCGTCAGTAGTTGGCCCGATTCCTACTGACTGCTGGCGTTTCCCTGCCTTGGAGACTCCCTCCCCTGCTCTGCTCCGCGGCGCCTCAGCTCCTCTGGGCACTCACTCTTGCGATGGCCCGGCCTATTGCAAGCAAAGCAGCGCCCTTTAAACGGCGTGGCAGCTGCATTTGTCGCAACGGCATGTACGGTGGCGTGCTCGATCGGTCCCCGAGGGCGATGTCCGTAATAGGACCCCGGTCTCGGACGGCGCAAAATGTCGATTTTCTCGGCGAGCGCGAGAATCTCGTTGAAATTCGAGATTCCGCGTAGCATGATTTCGTGCGAGATGTCCGACTTCAGCCCTCCGACGTAACGGTCCACCCGCTCCGCTTCGTGCATGTATCCGACTTGCTCGCATAATGCGAGAAAACCGCTCGTGTAGTCTTGAACCGACCCGAGCTGCCGCCAAGTACGCAGTCTCTGACGCGCCGAAATAGAAGTCGCGATCGGCTCGAAGCGCGCCCGAAGCCCTGCGCACCACGCATCCCACGTGCTGTACTGGGCGGTTTCGCAGAATGAACTCCAGGTGATGGCTGGACCCGTGGGCCCTTCCTCTTGCGACGGTGGCTCGTAGGCGTGTGGCGATGTCACGATGACTCGCCACCAGTCCATGGCGGGGCCCCTCAGCAGCGAGACGGCGTATCTGATCTTCGCTGCGTCCGACTCGACGTAGTTTGCGTCGAAAAATACGTTCATCGTGAAGACCCACGACTGAACCGTCGGACCTCCACGCTGACTCGGGTCGAAACAGGGCGGGCGCTGCGGCTTCAGTGGCATTGGCGTCATGATGGCGTGGTCGCCACTTGTCGCCGCAAATTCCACGTGCCGACGGGCTTCACGAGGCTCCCGTGGGCTTGGCGCAACCCTGTTCCTCTCCATGTCCGGCATCGAGTGGGCGGCGCCATCACTGGCTGCGCCTGAGCGCTGTCCCATACTGTCGTTCTGTGTCGGTGTGCCTGATGAAATGACGATCGGCTCCTCCGATTGTGCAGGTGCATTTGCAGGTGCGTGTGGTGGCGCCGGAGTATTCACCGTAGATTGCTGACGTGCGGAGTCACGTTCCGCCGTGAGCGTCGCAATTTCGAGCGCCGATTCTTCGACTTGGTGCACGAGACGGTCGAGTTGCTCCTGCGTCAGTGTCGCGAGCGTAAATTCGGCCATGGCGGGGGTGTCGGGCAAGCTCAGCGAGAGCCTCTGTCGTGGCCGTGCGTGCTTACGAGAGAGCACTACGAGCGGCGGTGATGTGGCGCTGAGAGGCGTCTACCCCCCCCAAAATATTGAGATAGTGGGGAAGCGAAGGTGTGGGTGCGGTCCGAGAAGAGATCGTAGGCTCTGAATACCAAGTGTTACGAGTGCAATTGAGTGAGCGAGCAAGCGATGCACTATCGAAGCAAGAGGACAATGAGCGAAGGCATGAGCGAAGAATATATAGCGAAACTACAGTGGTAACGGTAATGAACTGTGGGTGACGCGCGACGGGCCTGGAACCGAGGTTTGGGAAAATGTCGAGGCGGAGGCCCGGAGCGCGGGTTACTCGCCGAACCGTGAAGTCGGGGTGCGACGTGCGAAGGTGGCGGGAGGATTGTCGATGCGAGGGTTGCGAGTGGTAACGGTGCTGACTGTGGTGCTACAGTGTTGTACGCGCTGAGCAGGGGCACAAGTAAGGAAAAGGAATTTTCCTTATAGTACTATTGTTTAGTATTCTGTAGTTGTCTATTGTAATCTGCGAGTGATTTACATATTGCATAATTGATTTGCATTGCTCTGTGCGACCAATTCCCGAACCTGGACCTAATCTCGCGTACAGACTACTAGTTCGACATTCCCTGAGCCACTAGGTCGCAGTGGTTCTAGGGTCTTCGCCATGAGTATTTTGTGTACATAGATTCGCGGTTCGTTTGCTGTACTGTCCATTCTCCTCGCGATTTCCGACCCCAGATCACAATCGGGTCCCAGACGTTCCCACTGCGTTTCCTTCCGCAAACCCCTTGTTTTCGAAACGCATCGCGGAATTCCCAGGGATATTTTCATCTCCACGAGCTCGCGCGTCCCATGGCCGACGCGAAAGATATATTGGGATTGCCGAAGAAAGCGCTACCAGGCACACCTGGCAGAGCGGGGCTGGGAGGGGGCGCTGGAGTGCCGCGGGGAGTGCGGGGAAGGGGAAGAAGCGGGAGCGAGATGGCGGAGGGCGGGCAATTCCCGAGGGGATCAGCAGAGAGGTGGGGAACGGAAAGGGGGGAAGCCGAGAGGTGGTTGCTGGGGAGGATTGAGAGTGAAGAGGAAGGTCAGGAGGGAAGGGGGGGGGGGGAGAGGGGAGATGTGGTGGAGAGGGTTGGGAGGGGATGGAGAGGGGGCTTTTGATGGAGGCAAAGCAGCAGTGGCAATTGAGGAGGAATGTCGTGTTGTCAATTAGGGTCAACGTGCAACAACACTGATCATTCATTAGGGTTTCAAGGAAATTTGATCATTACTTGTTGAGACGTTCCTTTCCTCTATGTATCCAATGCCTGCTCCTCCCCCACCAGGTCTATGCGCTCACGGGTGGTTTACCCCCAATTATGCCAACTTTCGACCCTATGCTCCTGCTCAAGAAAAGAACCACCCCTTCACAAAAGGTTTGTCAGCCATTGATCCGTCTATACTGGAAGTGAATCTACAGTATAATTTAGCTTCCATACTGTGCTAGTGATGTGTATAAGACTTTATGCCCAACTGTACTAGAATATGTATTGATTGACTGGTGGAGGAGCCATGTCTGCCTCCTCCAAAGGTTCCTTGATACCTCACCCATTCTCCTCACACCTCCTTCAATCATCAGAGGGCCTTTTCCTCCCTCCCATCCCAACCCCTCTTTCCTGTTTCTGTCAGGTGACATGGCAGTGGAAACCCATTGTTTCATCTGCCCGGCCAGACGACCTGAAAATTTACCACTGGGTAGGCTGAAAGGCTTTCTTGTAAAACAAGTAATGAGAAGAAAGACAGATTAGTGACAAGGCTACTGCATGTAGTTTTGAGATGTTTAAAAAGCACCCTTCTTTCACGCAACAAGTAATGAGAAGAAAGACAGATTAGTGGCAAGGCTACTGCATGTGTGGATCTTAAGCTCCTGAGGAACGATAAGCGTAGCTGACATGTGTATGTTTGATGTGCGTGTGCATGGATGTGCGTGTCTGTGTGTGCGCGTGTGTGTGTGCATGCATTCTCTTGTCTGTATCTGTGTGAAAGCTTAATCTCATCATGTTTTCTTTGCCTTGCTTTGGTGTATAATGTATTGGCCCAACAGGTTAAAGTGGTGGACGGCAATGTTCCCACAGAGGATTATTCGTTCGCCAAGTACAACAAGGTCAGTTCGAATCAATTTGATGGTAATACTGCTGTGTAACCAGCACTGTAACACTCCAACGAATAGAACCAGCACAGCACAGTAACACCTAATAAAAAAAAAAAAAAAAAAAAAAAAAACACACACACACACATACACACACACACACACACACACACACACACACACACACACACACACACACACACACACACACATACAGTAACAACCTGACGAACATTTTCTTAACACCTCTACCTTCACCCCTACCCACCTCCTCCCACCCCATCTCTATTCCACGTATTCACTCGCTCCCACCGATTCCCACTCGCCTACTGCTCCCACTCCTCTCCTCCATACCTCTTCCTAGTCGACCAACTCATCCTATCCTCCGTTTTCTCCTCCCCCGTATCCTTCCAGCCACCTCAAGTGCTACGGTATACAGAGGAGGAATACAAGAGCCTGCTCTACCACCCTGTAAGTCCTGTAGCTTGTGAGTCTTGAGACGTCTCAAAAACAAGTCAACTACTCAACACAAAAGTCATGGCACTACCATGCCTCTGTCCTAATACTGTTATGCTTTCAGCTCGCCCGTTCTTGCCCACCTCTTCTCCTAAATCCCCCCCCCCCCACCCCCCCCCCCCTTTTTTTTTTTCCTTTTTTTTTCTTCATATTTCCAATATTTGTGGCATTATTGTGTCGCCATTGAGCGATGCAGCTCCCTCCCTCCCTCCCTCCCTCCGTCCGTCCGTCCGTCCGTCCGTCCGTCCGTCCGTCCGTCCGTCCGTCCGTCCGTCCCTCCCTCCCTCCCTCCCTCCCTCCCTCCCTCCCTCCCTCCCTCCCTCCCTCCCTCCCTCCCTCCCTCCCTCCCTCCCTTCCCTCCCTCCCATTCGCCCCAACCCGCTCTTTCCCCAATGCGCCACCAGCGCTGGACCCGGGAAGAAACTGACTCGCTCATGGATCTTTGCGCTCGGTTCGGCCCGCGTTTCATCGTCGTTGCCGACCGTTACAATACGGACGTCGAGCGTCACAACGTGAGCATGGACAATCTCCCCCCTTTTCCCCCCTATGCATTTCCATTCCAGCGCTGGACCCGGGAAGAGACTGACGCCCTTATGGATATCTGTGCTCGGTTCGGCCCGCGTTTCATTGTCGTTGCCGACCGTTACAACACGGACATCGAGCGTCACAATGCGAGCATTCATCAGCCCGTGGCTCCAAGTCGTGCCAGTGCATCGACGGGGGCGTCTGCTGCTGCTGCTGCTGGCGGTGGTGCTGCTGGGAATGGTGGTGCTGATGCTGCGTCTACTGATGCTGCAGCTGCTGGTGCGGATGCTGATGGTCGGACTTGCAAGGAAGAGCCGTTTTCAGGGACTGGGGCAATGAAAGTCGAGCCTAGGGAGACCGCTGCAGGTGCAGGGAATGCAGGGGCAGGGGCGGCAGGAAGGGCGGCAGGTGGGGCGGCAGGGGTTGGAGCTTCTGTAGCAAAGGCTGGGGAACGAAGGTCAAGTGCGGTGAAGAGGAAGGAAAGGACGATGGAGGAGATTAAAGAGCGGTACTACGATGGTGAGTGTAAGAGAAACGTTTTATTCAGTGCCTCATATGATGTCCTTCTGCATGAGATCGAGTTAGCTGTCGATTATAGAGTGACTTTTGAGTCGACTCAAAAGTCAAGTCGTTTTATTCAGTGCCTCATGCGATGTCCTTCTGCATGAGATCCAGTTAGGTGTGTCAATTATAGAGTGTTTTCTGAGTATCTGTGGGGGGGTTGATTTTTTAGTCGACTAAAAAAATGTCCTTCTGCACGCAAGCATGTTAGGTGTCGATTATAGAGTGTTTTCTGAATATCAGTGGGGGGTTGGCGCTGCTATGCATGTGTCTAATGGTTTTGATGCAACTGGTGGCAGCAGGTGCAACTGAAGCAGGATGAAATCCTGTAGGTATTAGTTGTCGAGTTGATACACAACCGAGCTCGTGTGTCAAGGCAATCAGTTGTATCCTCTCCTCACTCTTGAGGCGGCTCAAAAGTGGTGCAACTGAAGCATAAACTATGTTTAGGTGACTTCTGAGTCAACTCTAAAGTCACCTGCAGGTATAAGTTGTTGAGACATAACGAAGACACAACCGAGCTTGTGTGTGTGGTTTTTCTGTGTCCTCTCCTCACTCACCCTGAGCTGTGCAGTTACCAAGAAGCTCCTTGCTTCACGAGCAGCAGCAGGAGAGGAGGTGCCCATGGGTCTACTGCCAAAGGTGGGTGGGTGGGTGTGGGTGGGTGTGAGACGAATTTTGAAGCGTTCGTGTTAGGGGGAGAGCAGCAGCAGGAGAGGAGGTGCCCATGGGTCTACTGCCAAAGGTGGGTGCGCCTTCATTGCATGTGTCTCTCACACTCTCGCTCGCACGATCCCCCACACACATTCTAACTCACACTCTCCCTCACACTCACCCTCGCACGCCCCACTCAATCTCCTTCACGCTCTCTATCCCACCCACTCTCTCCCACACTCTTTTTGCCACTCTCGTTCCCACCCTCTGTTCCACGTTCCTTCCTTTCTTCAAACCACCCACCCAAGGCGCCAGAAACAGCGGATACAAACATGCTTGCTGAGGTCACGTGTAAAAAGTGAGTTTTTGAGACGCCTCAAACACCCAAGGCGCCACAAACAGCGGATACAAACATGCGTGCTGACGTGCAACGTCCCGCTCTTTTGAGACGCCTCAAAAGTTGCCCCTCACTCTCACTCTCACTCTTAACCTCACACACTTCCCGCTCTCCTCTCCCGTTCCTCCTCGTACGCCCCTCTTCCAGGATGGCTACAACATGCGTGCTGAGGTGCCATGTGTAAACAGAGTAGTTTTGAGACGTCTCAAAACTACTCTGTGTACAGGTAGTAATCGTTGTCCTTGCGCCGGGCGGCCTCCCGTGCAGCCCATCCTGGTGGTTTTCGGGCTGTAGGGTCCCTATTCAGAAGCACGGGGTCAGTGATGGTAACGTCGGTGATCCAGGTTTCACCTGATTCCGGATCCCGGACGATGACGTCCGCCTTCTTGGGGTCATCGGGCGGTGAGTACGTAGCATTTTCTAAATACACCACCAACTGCGCTTCCCGTGCCATTTTGGCGAGTGCAAATGCCAGTTGGTTGTGGGTGCGGGTCCTGTCTGGTCCTTCGCTGCAGCGGAGAAGGTGGTTAGGGAGGCTGCAGTCAGGGACGAGTTCTCCACAGGAGCATACAGTCCGCACGTTCATCCTCAGGCCCAGGCGGAAAGCCAGGGCCGTCCCAAATTGTCCTGGTGAGAAAGTGAGGTCCGGTGTGAAGGGGATCGCTTGCAGCCACAGCCCCACTCTCACTCTTACCCTCACACACTTCCCGCTCTCCTCTCCCCTTCCTCCTCGTATGCCCGTCTCCCAGTGGCTACAACATGCATGCTGAGTGGAGCGCAAGACCCTGCTGCTGTCCCCACTCTCACTTTTACCCTCACACACTTCCCGCTCTCCTCTCCCGTTCCTCCTCTTACTCCCCTCTCCCCTGTCCCCTCTACCCCAAACCACCCAGGATGGTTACAACATGCGTGGTGAGGTGGAATGCAAGACCTTGTTGCTGTCCCCACTCTCACTCTTACCCTCACACACCTCCCGCTCTCCTCTCCCGCTCCTCCTCTTACTCCCCTCTCCCCACCTTCCCAGGATGGTTACAACATGCGTGCTGAGGTGGAGCGCAAGACCCTGCTGGCCGCACAGCTGGCGCTGACTCGGCGCCAGCTGGCAGAGGAGGAGAAGGTGAGGTGGACGAGAGGGTGGCCATTGGGGGGGGGTGTGGTTGGAGGGGGTTGGGGTGTGGTTGGAGGGGGGTGGGGGGGTTTGAGACGTGACAAAGCTATGGTAACACGAAGCCGGCCCCCTGACCGCACTTTGCTTACTCCCCCTTTTTCTCTGGTTTTATCAACCAGGTGCTGGCAGAGGCAGAGAAGATTCATAAAGCCCGGGTTTGCGTGCTGCCCCTTTTTCTCTGGTTTGAACAAACAGGTGCTGGCAGAGACAGAGAAGAGTCTCGAAGCGCAGGGATGGACTGACTGACGAGCAGCTGAAAGAACACAAGGAGAGAATTCGAGTCGTGTCATAACCATGTTGCATGTTGCTGTTTTTCCGGCGTGGTTCTGCATAACGTGTCATAACCATGCTGCATAACCAGGTGCTGGCAGAGGCAGAGAGGATTCTCAAGGCGCAGGGATGGAGTGAGGAGCAGTTGCAAGAGCACAAGGAGAGATTGCAGTGGAGTGGAGGGAGAGGGAGAGGGTTTGAGACGTGTGTCAAAGCCATGTTGTGTGTTGCATGTTGCTGTCTCCCCGTGTGGTTCCACAGGTGCTTGCAGAAGCGGAGAGGATTCTTAAAGCCCGGGGGTGGACCGACGAGCAGTTGCAAGAGCACAAGGAGAGACTGCAGTGGAGGGAGAGGGAGAGGGAGGAGAAAGAGAGGGAGGAGAGGGAGAGGGGGGAGCGGGAGAGAGAGGAGAGGGCGGAGAGGGAGAGGGAGAGGGAGGAGAGGGAGGAACGGGCGAGGGAGAGGGAGAGGGAGGCGGGAGAGAGGGAGGTGGAAGCACGGAGGCGGCAGGCAAAGCAGCAAACTGTGAAGCTGGTGAGGAGGAGGGCAAAGCTGGTAGCACCACCATTGATTGTAACGACACTGCTTTGAACTTTCCGGTTTTTTTTTTTTTTTTTTTTTTTTTTGCTATGGTAAAAAAGGAGTTGGGGGTTTTGGGAGAGATTCCTAAACACAGCTCAAGCTGCTTCAGATTACCTTTAAGTCTGTCACAGACATTTCAATACTCATTTGTCTCCCACTTTTCTCCCTCCCCTTATCCATGCCACAGGCCTCCATTCCGCCATCCCCCATGCTCTCCTCTCGAGCCCCACCAGCAGCACCAGTCACTCCTCTGCACGACAGCTGTGGGTCAGAGACGTATAATTCTTAATAGAATCCCAACCCCCCTTCCCCCCTCTCCCACCCCTTTCCGCCCAGGCCTCCATTCCCCCCTCCCCCACCCTCTCCTCTCGAGCACCACCAGCAACACGAGTCACCCCTTTGCAAGACACCCACGTGGCACCTCCATCTGTGCCCGCATCAGCATCCACGTCAGCAGCTGCCCATGCTGACGTGGTGCCAGCTCACGCGCCCGAGCGGACACGTCAGCATGCGGTGTCAGCAGGAGGGTCTCGGGGCGCCCTTGCTGCTCCAGTGTCAGCCCAGGCTGGGAATGCGAGAGTGGTGAGTTGGAATAGAGGTGTGTGCATGTGACTCAGTGTGTAAATGCTATAGGGGTGCCATTGCTGCTCTGGTGTCAGCCCAGGCTGGAAACGCGAGAGTGGTGAGTTGGAATCGAGTTGTGTGCATGTGACTCAGTGTGTAAATGCTATAGGGGCGCCATTGCTGCTCTGGTGTCAGTCCAGGCTGGGAATGCGAGAGTGGTGAGTTGGAATAGATTAGGTGTGGGTGAGTTGGGCGGTGAGTTGGTGGAGGATTGTATACACTTGACTGTTGAGTGGAAGCGAGGGGATCAGGCATGCACGCACATAGGCATGCACGCACATAGGCATGCACGCACATAGGCACGCACGCACATACGCACGCACGCACATACGCACGCACGCACATACGCACGCACGCACATACGCACGCACGCACATACGCACGCACGCACATACGCACGCACACGCATATGCACGCACGCACATACGCACGCACGCACATACGCACGCACGCACATACGCACGGACACGCATATGCACGCACGCACATACGCACGCACGCGCATATGCACGCACGCACATACGCACGCACGCACATATGCACGCACGCACATATGCACGCACACGCATATGTGCGCACACGCACATACGCACGCACACGCATATGCACGCACACGCGTATGCGCGCACACGCATGCATATTAATCTCCCTGGTTTCCACCAGTCCTCTCTCTTCGAACTATCCGCCTATATCCGAGTTACTTTTAAGAAATCATAAGTTTATTGGTGAGGTTCTTGCACATGCTTGTGCCTGGCCTCTACCCTTTTGAGTGAGGGCGAGGCCACCCTCACCTCACTCACAAGTTAGATTGTCTGTGAGGTGCCCGCACCAGACCTACGCCCTCCTCTTGCACATGCTTGTGCCTGGCCTCTACCCTTTTGAGTGAGGTCGAGGCCACCCTCACCTCACTCACAAGTTAGATTGTCTGTGAGGTGCCCGCACCAGACCTACGCCCTCCTCTTGCACATGCTTGTGCCTGGCCTCTACCCTTTTGAGTGAGGGCGAGGCCACCCCCACTCAAAAGTTTATTAGTTTGTGAGGTGCCTGCACCCGACCTCCACCCTCCTTTTGCCAACTGCCGCGTTCTATCTTCCCCTTTCCTCCACATCCCCCCCACCCCGCTCCCCTGCCTCTTCCGGTTCCCAACCCCCAACACCAGCCGCGTGTGTTCGTGAGAGGTCCGCGTCTGGCCTCCACCCTCCTCGCCTCCACCACCACTGCTGGCTGGACTCATACACCCGTGCTCCCCTTTTGCCCCCTTCTGCAACATTCCCGCCCTTCTCCATTCCCCCCCCTCACCCGCCGCGTGTGTTCGTGAGAGGTCCGCGTCTGGCCTCCACCCTCCTCGCCTCCACCACCACTGCTGGTTGGACTCACACCACCTGTGCTCCCTTTTTTCCCCCCTTTTGCAACATTCCCCCACTTTCCCTTTCCCCTTCTCTCAGCCGCGGGTGTTTGTGCGGGGTCCGCGTCTTGCCTCCACCCTCCTTGCCTCCACCACCACTGCGGGCGCTAGAATGGCCAAGCGCATTGAAAACACGCTTCAAGAGCTGGGTGTGAGTGAGGTGTATAGGAATAAGAATAGGGGGGGGGGAGAAGGGGTATGTTACGAAAGCGGGCAGAGGTCTCGCCTCCACCCTGCTCGCCTCCACCCTGCTCGCCTCCACCTTGCTCGCCTCCGCCACCACTGCTGGCGCTAGAATGACAAAACGCATTGAAAACACGCTTCAAGAGCTGGGGGTGAGCATGTTCGGTGGGGGAAGTGACACGTGTGGGGGTTGGGCTTGGGTTCGGTTGGGTTGGATTGGGTGGGATGGTGATAAGAGTAGAGAACTGGCCTCCACCTCCTCGCCTCCGCCACCACTGCGGGCGCTAGAATGGCCAAACGCATCGAAAACACGCTTCAAGAGCTGGGGGTGAGTGGGATGTGTAGGAGGGGGGAAGGGGGGGTTACTGCTGGCGCTCGGATGGCCAAACGCATCGAAATCACCCTTCAGGAGCTGGGGGTGAGTGAGATGCATTTCAAGCAGAGAAGGGGCCTGGTAAGGTGAGAGCTCTAGCGTTTGTTGGAGAGCCAGCTTGTAGTGAGGAACAATTACTTGCTGTTTTCTGAGAGAGGATTCTTCTTAGAGTTGATTGAATCAACAGTCACTTTGTCTTGCAATAGCCCTGCCTTCCACCATCCACTACCTTCCTACTCTTCCGCCCCTCCTTTACCCCTCTCTCTGTCCCTTGCACTCATTCCCCTGTACTTCTCTCCACACCCCAGGTGCCCTTGGCCCACGCGTGCCCACGCGGGAGGTGTGCGCGGAATACAGCGCCCTCTCCCCCCTCCTCTTCCTTCCACCCTCATCCCCCACTCATTCTCTCCACACCCCAGGTGCCCTTGGCCCCACGAGTGCCCACGAGGGAGGTGTGTGCGGAATGCGTTGCGCTTTGGAATAGAGTATGCTTCAAGCACCCCCCCTTCACTCCACACCCCCCCTTCTCCCCACACCCCAGGTGCCTCTGGCACCCCGCGTGCCCACGCGGGAGGTGTGTGCGGAGTACGTGGCACTGAGGAAAGAGGTGGTTGCGCTGCTGAACCTTCAAAAGAAGGTGGGAGAGAGAAAGAGGGGGGAGAAGGGAAGGGGGGGGAGGGGAGGGGGGGCTTCATACGGGTTTGTACATTGCACTCTCTGAGGGAAAGAGGTGGTTGCGCTGGTAGACCTGCAGAAGAAGGCGAGATTTTGATTTGATTTAACACGCACCCATACACTCACGCTGACACACTCACATCCACACACGCACACTCACACTCGCACACTCACACTTGCACACTGACACTTACCCCCACACACCCTCTCCTCTCGGAACCGCACACCTCTTTGCAGGTACACTGGTAGGAAAACGAGCTTACTCTTTGAAAGTAGAAGTGTTTTGAGACGTCTCAAAGCACTTTTAATTTCACACTTGCCCCCACACCTCCACCCCTCCAATCCAAACGTCTCCTTGCAGGTTCACTGGAAGGAAAACGAGCTTACTCTCTTAAAGGAAAGCCTTCAAAAGGAGACAGGGGGTGGGGGAGGCGGAGGAGGGGGGAAGGGTGTTGCAGGAGGGGGCAAGGGAGTGGCTGGGGGAGGCAAGGGGGTGTCTGGGGGGGCTAAGGGTGCAGGAGGGTCAACAGGGGGAAGCAAAGGGGGAGGGAAGGGGGGAGGGGGAGGAGGAACAGTGAAGGGGGGAGGAGGAGGAGGAGGAGGAGGAGGAGGAGGAGGAGGAGGAGGAGGAGGAGGAGGAGGAGGAGGGGTGGGGGGAGGAGGAGGAGGAGGGGTGGGGGGAGGAGGAGGAGGAGGAGGGGTGGGGAGAGGGGGAACAGAGAAGGGGGGAGGAGGTGTACCACCAACTGCTGCTCCAGCAGTAGCAGCGCCGGCAGCTGGAACAGGCACACACCAAAAGCACCACGACTCGACCAACCTTGCACCCCTTTCCAGGGTGAGTGCCAGGGATTTGACTTGATCTAAGCTCTTCTTGAGCCACCTCAAACATGTTGAGGCGCCTCAGAAACACAAAAGCACCACGACTCGACCAACCTTGCACCCCTTTCCAGAGTGAGTGCCAAGGATTTTTTTGGCGCCTCAAAAGCCCTTTTAAAGTGCAGGAGCGGCAGCAGCAGTAGCGCCGGCAGCTGGAACAGGCACACACCAAAAGCACCATGACTCGTCCAGCCGAGCATTGCACCCCTTTCCAGAGTGCGCTCAGTTGGTTGTTCAGGATTCTTAGAAACAATCTGCTGCTGCTGCTGCAACAGCAGCACCAACAGCAGCAGGAGCAGCAACACCACACCAAAAGCACCATGAGTCGTCCCGTCCAGCCTTGCACCCCTTTCCAGAGTGAGGTCATGGCTCATGCCTCTTGCCTTCCAGTTTTGAGACGTCTCAATACTTTCCAGAGAGAGCCCATGGGTCTGACTTGATCTAAGCCTTTTCCCGCTCCCTTTCTTTCCTCCCTCGCCTCCCCATCTTTCCCCCATCGCCCCACCATCTTCCCTGCATCATCCCCCTATCTCCCCCCCATCGTGTCCCCATCTTCCCCACACCTTCCTTCCCCTCTCCTTTACCCCCTGTTACCACTGTTTCCCTTTCCCCTTCTTCCCCTTCTTCCCCCATGCTCGCTCTCTCTTCCCTCATTCACGCCGACACACGTGCAGACAGAACCACTCGAGTCGAGAATTCCCGATAGTAGCTGCAGTTCAAACTGTTTCCTCCCAGCTACGTTGATGGTACTGTTGAGAATTCTCAAAAGTACCATCAACAGAACCACTCGAGAATTCCCGATAGTAGCTGCAGCTCAAACTGTTCCCTCCCGCTTTCCCCTACCAGTCATGCCAAGACCTGCATTTCATGACCCCCTTTTGAGACGTCTCAAAAGCCGAGACCTGCCTTTCATGACCGGCAGTGGTAGCAGATCCTCTGACATTTTCCAGGCCTTCATCAGTGCCTACGAGAATAGCCGAGACCTGCCTTTCATGGCCGGCAGTGACTGACTAGTCTGCAAGGACGAGCTATATCAGAGTGACCATTGAGAGGTCTCAAAGGTCTCGTGTGTGACAAGTCTATTGTTTTGGTCGACTCAATTTTTTCAGACGTCTCAAAACGCAAAAATATATTTTGCATTGGGTTTAGGGTTGCACTGGAGTCACCTTTGAGAATTCTCAAAAGTCATCAATCCGCACTAATCCCTCTACCTTGTATTTGAATCTGTCCCGCTATCTTCCTCGTATCCATACCTGCCCTGCCCGTCTTCCCTGGCCAGGCCTACCGAGCCTCAGCTCCGGAATCAGCTTCGGCGCTGCCTGGTCCGTCGTCTGCTGTTACATCAGGTAATACCCATGGCACGCCAACCGATCATCACAATAACATTTAGCAACGCCAAAGAATCAATGTCTATTAGAATATCCATGGCTCGCGAGGAGAATATCTAAAAGAAGTCCTTCCGAGCTTCAGATAAGACCCATGCCATGCCATGCCATGCCATGCCATGCCATGCCATGCTCTAGGTTGATTTTGAGTGCTCGTCGTCACAAGGAAAAGCAAATTCTTGAAGCACCCCAAGTATGTTCCACGGGGGGTGCGCCTCGAAGATGTACCTTTAAGAACTACCCATGCCCCTCACGTTTTGAGACGTCTCGGATTTGGAGTGGAGGCGTCTCAAAACTCGAATTGTCCACGGCGGGTGCGGCTCGGACATGTATAGTGAAGAACTACCCATGCCCCTCACGAGCACACGAGCCCCTTTTTGAGGCGCCTCAAAATGAGATGTTCCTTCTTCTTCCTTCCTTTCAAGAACTACCGATCCCCCTCACGAGCACGCGAGCTCTTGGCCAGTTTCCCATAAGCCTATATGACTGGGAGGGTGTCTTGAGAATTCTAGAAACGAAAATGAACCAAACAAACAAAAGAAAACTCGCTGCTCCGATTCTTGCCTCGGTTCAGTTTCAGGTGTAGATTTGGAAACAACCCATACCTGTTAGCAAACACGCCCTCGGTCTGCACACACTTCCTGCTCCCTCCACCCTCATCACCCGTTCTCCGTATTTCTTCTTCTTCATCCCTCATCACCCGTCTTCACCCCCCCTCCACCACTCTCAACCCCTCTGTGCCTCTCTTCGCAGGCACCGCTTCCACACCGCGGCCTGAAGTCGGGAGAAAGGTGAGAGATCAGGTTATAGTCCAGTTCAAAGGTCGTGTGCTGATGAGAAGAAGTGATATGCTCTCTCTCACTCTCTTTCTCTCTGTGCTGTGCGGCTTTCACATGCATCAAACCCTTTTTCCCTCCTCAGTCCGCCGAAGCCGAATGAGCAAAGTGATTATGTTGTGTTGTGTGACGGTGCTTCTCTCCCGTCTAGACATGAGCACAAGGGCGAACACCTGTTCGGTTCGCCCGAACATGTTCTCTTGCTCTCTTCTCCTTGCACCCTTCACGTGCATGAAAATCCCCCCTCCCTTAACCCTCCCTCAACCCTCCTCAACCCTCCCTTTCCCCCCTCTCGCCCTCCCATCGGTCGCCTTCTTCCCCCACTCCTTTCCCCTCCCCTCTGGTTTCCTTCCATTCAATCAGCGCCAGGCAGGGTGGAGGGTTGGTGAACCCAGCAGCACTGCCCCTGCTGCTTCTGGTCCGGGCTCTGCTGGCCCTGGGGGTGGTGGGGGTGGGGGTGGGGGAGGGGGTGGTGGGGGTGGTGGGGGTGGGGGTGGGGGAGGGGGTGGTGGGGGTGGTGGGGGTGGTGGGGGTGGGGGTGGGGGAGGGGATGGTGGGGGTGGTGGGGGTGGGGGTGCACAGAAACGAATCCGACGGCTAAAAATCACCGAAGACTGAGAGGGCTCACCTGGTGCGGCGAGGAGCAGAGGAGGAGGTGCTGGGATGAATGGAGGGGCGGGTGGAGGGCTGCTGAACCTAGCAGCACTGCGCCTGCTGCTTCTGGTCCAAGCTCTGCTGGTGGGGGGGGTGGGGGCGGGGGTGGAGGTGATGGGGGAGGGGGTGGTGGTGGGGGTGGGGGTGCACAGAAGCGAATCCGACGGCTCAAGATCACAGAAGACTGAGATGGACTCTTCTGGTGCGAAGGGTGGGGAGGTTTCGTAGATAGGCACAGTGGGGGTATGGGGCTGGGGCTGGGGCTAGGGATTGGGGTGGGGTGGGGATGAACAGAAGCGAATCCGACGGCTCAAGATCACAGAAGACTGAGATGGACTCTTCTGGTGCGAAGGGTGGGGAGGTTTCGTAGATAGGCACAGTGGGGGTATGGGGCTGGGGCTGGGGCTAGGGATCGGGGTGGGGTGGGGATGCACAGAAGCGAATCCGACGGCTCAAGATCACAGAAGACTGAGATGGACTCTTCTGGTGCGAAGGGTGGGGAGGTTTCGTAGATAGGCGCAGTGGGGGTATGGGGCTGGGGCTGGGGCTAGGGATCGGGGTGGGGTGGGGATGCACAGAAGCGAATCCGACGGCTCAAGATCACAGAAGACTGAGATGCAAAGGCTCTGCTGCTGCCGCAGGTGGGGTAGTGAATGTTTTTTGGTAGAATATTAAAAGGGCGCTTGTTGCAGGTGAAGGATTTTGCCCACACCTCTCCACTCATTTGTGCACTTAAGAATACTACGTTTTGTAATGTAGCACTGATATGTATTAGTTTGCTGTATATGAGCAAAACCTTGCGCCGTAGTGTAGATAAGCACCACATTCACTTTCATTGCAACAAAAGGTGCCAGCACAGCAGTATAAGGTAGCATGTTTGATGTTTGGTTTGTTACAACAGGACAGAAACATAACTTCGAAGCAGCATGTTTGCATTGCATCATTGAACCAGGCAAAATGTGGAGGTACAGTAACAGACCAGCATCAGATCAGAAAACCTCTTTGTGGTAACAGGAAAGCTGGGGTACCAGCTCCAGTTTAGTGCTATATAACCCGGCACTTCTGCCCTGCACCATGAGTCGAGTCGATGCTCTATACTCACGTTTGATTGAGTCAACCCAGAAGTTACAGGCTGGTTCTTTAAAGCTGCGGTCTACATTCTAAGTGGTGTTTTTTGGGGGTATTTTTTATGCCCACCCTTTCGTGCGGCCTGATTGGAGAACGAAGTCAGCATGTTTCAGAAACACCGCAGCGAAGAATTCAGACAGGAAACACGAATTCAGCCCAACTTCGTGCTGACGCGTGGTTTGGGGGAAGGGTCTGCGGAAGGGCGGGAAACAACCTGGGGAGTTCGTTTCGGGCGGAAAGAACCCCAACCCCCTCTCTCCACCCCCCTCAACCGTTAGTTTTGCATGAAAGGGGGCCGAGTCCAAAAACGGGTCACCCTGTTTTCAAGTGATAAACTCAGGCCTCCCGCTCGTAGTATGTAGACCGCAGCTTTAAAATTCTCACAACCCAGCTGCCATCTGACCCGGCAGGCACTTCTGCCCTGCACCACCACAAGTAAGGACTCGTAAGTTACGACTTTCGAGGCGTCTCAAAAGGCACCACAAGTAAAGACTCAAAAGTCACGATTTGAGTCAACCTAAAAGCACAGCCCGCCCTGCATTTCAGCTCTGCAACCCAGCCCTGCAATCCGGAGTGCATTGCTGGGAATGCTGCTGCCACCAGAGCACTCCAAATCTGATGAAACCCCCACCCATCCAGTCCACTCCAGAGGGTCAGAGTCCAGGAGAAATGTCTGAAGAAGGTTACTTTTGAGTCGACTCAGAAAGAAGTCACCTCAAATCTGATGAAACCCCCATCCAGAGTGCAGTGCCGGGAATGCTGCTGCCACCAGAGCACTCCAAATCTGATGAAACCCCCATCCAGAGTGCAAGAGTCCGGGATGTCTGGAAGAGATAACCAGGCTGGAATCAGAGATGTGAACAGAGGTGGCCTGCATCGCACTTCAGCCCTGGAACCCCAGAGGTGGCCTGTTCTCAACCCATGGTTTGATCAGCCCATCACAGGCCAAAGGACAGACAGTCGGGCACTCATAACCGCTCTCTTCTCAAAGTCCTTACGTAGTCCCCTCCATCGAAAACGGATGGTTTCCCCAGAGTGAGCACATGTCAACAGATGCTGCGCCTGATTTCTCCTGCCTTTCTGTCGTTAATTCACTGTTGAGCTCCCTCTTCTGATGCTGCTTCTGATGCTGCTTCTGCCCTTGTTGCACCTGCTGCTGCGTCTGCTGTCCCTAATGCTCCCGCTGCCCCTGCTGCCCTGCCCCTGCTGCCCCTGCTGTCCCTGCTGCCCCTGATGCCCCCGATGCCCCTGCTGCTGCTGCTTCATTTCACTCAGACGAAGCCGGCCAGAGCGACTGTCAGCTGTTAAAAGAGTATGGCGCGCACTGGCAAAACCTCTCCGGAAAAAAAGGAGCAAAAAAAGAAAAACACAAAAAAAAGGCAAAAAAAGGGGAAAAAAGTGCTGCGCGAAGGAAAACCGCCATGGTTGAATGGTTCAGTAGGCACCGCCCTTTAAGTCGACTAAAAAATCAATCAGCTTGCCATAGTCGGATGAACAGTTACGATTCTTCAGATGCCTAAAAAACGGAGCACTGGTGACTAAGCGCTGTGAACGAGCTTGGGCAGGTCGAGACGGCAGAAAAAAAGAACCAAGTATGACCAAGATAGCCTCAAAAGCAGCACGGGGTGACTAAGCGCTGTGGATTACTAAGGGCTGTGGATTACTAAGCGCTGTGGATTACTAAGCGCTGTGAACGAGCTTGGGCAGGTCGAGACGGCGGAAGCGGATGGCAAAATGCACGTCCTGCCAAAGGAAGGTGATGCGGGCGGCAGAGTCCACTAGCAGACAACCATTCACCCACTGCGGGCGGCGGAAGTTGTAGTCTGCCACCCGGCCCTGGCCCTGGCACCTGTTGGGGTGGATGGTGGGGGTGGCGGGCGGGAAGAGGATCAAGAGGAGTGGAGTGCGGTGTGAGTAGGTCAGGTGGGAACCAGGAAGAAGCAAGAATCAGACAACCACAGCAATTCAGGCAAAAATATATACATATCTAACAAAGGTAATCAGGCACAAGATGACGCCATTTTGCATTGAATTAGCAAGCTCTGAGACGATGTAAGAACATGTTCAAGGGCACAATAACACAAAGCAGTCAAGAGAAGCTCACATCCAGACAAACTGAACCTCTGTGCCCTCGTCTGCCCCCGCGTCATGATCCGTGTGCATCACAGCACGGGCCAGAGTTGTTGCCCTCTGCCACCTCTCTCCCCTCTCCCTCCCCGCCTCCTCTGCTCGCTCCATCTCCCTCTCCCTCTCCCTCTCTGCTGCTCCATCCACGTCATCATGATCACAGTCATGATCACCCATTGCAGTGTCACTCCCATCAGTACCGCTGCTTTCTGCCCCTCTGCGGCTGCCCTCGCCCCTGCTGCTGCCCTCCCCTCTGCGGCTGCCCTCACCCCTCCCAGAGGGCTCATCACCGTCATTGGTAGGAGGAGGGATGACGATGCTGCGAGTGGGAGTGAGCGGCATGGGCGCTCCCCCTGGTCCCCGGGGCAGGAGGCCGTCAGTGGGTGGAAGATCTGATGGGTCAGGTGGGCCTTGGGCTGTGGCGAGGCGGGCTTTAAAGGTCACTTGCCCACAAGGCACGTTGGGGTCGCCTGGAAGAGGAGGGAGAAGCAAGCAGAACAAGGGGTTTATCAAGGGGGTTACAGGGGTCAGCAGGGCTTATCACCACCGTTGCGAGGAGGAGGGATGACGATGCTGCGAGTGGGAGTGAGCGGCACGGGCGCTCCCCCCGGCCCACAGGGCAGGAGGGAGTTGGTGGGAGGAAGGTCTGATGGGTCAGGTGGGCCTTGGGCTGTGGCGAGACGGGCTTTAAAGGTCACCTGCCCGCAGGGCACGTTGGGATCGCCTGCGAGGGAGATGAGAAAGAAGGGGAAGGGAAACAACGGGAAGCAAGGGGCTTATCACCACCGTTGGTGGGAGGAGGGGGGATGACGATGCTGCGAGTGGGAGTGAGCGGCACAGGCAGTCCCCCCCGGCCCACGGGGCAGGAGGCCGTCAGTGGGTGGAAGATCGGAGGGGTCAGGCGGGCCTTGCGCAGTGGCGAGGCAGGCTTTAAAGGCCACTTGCCCGCAGGGCACGTTGGGATTGCCTGTGAGGGAGATGGGAAAGAGGCGGGGCAAGTGGGAGTGGGTGGTGGGTGGGAGGAAGGTCAGTCAGAGGGGTCGGGTGGGCCTTGTGCTGTGGCGAGGCGGGCTTTAAAGGCCACTTGCCCGCAGGGCACACTGGGATCGCCTGTGATAGAAGGGGAAAGAACGGACTCAGCACAGTCAGAACTTACACCTGATACAAACGCACTAACAACCATCCTACCTGCTCTAAGTGGTGACTCCATCTCCCCCCTATACAAGCAAACTAAGATTCTACACCCGTTACAAGCACACCCGCATCCAGCGCACCTGTGATCTTGGTCGCGACAATCTCTCCCCCCTGTAGAAGCACACTCAGAATCTTTACCCGTTACAGCCCACCTTCATCCAGCGTACCTGTGATCTTAGTGGCGACGATCTCTCCCCCCTGTACAAGCACACTCAGGATATCCACACCATGGGGCCCATACTCGCCCGTCCACAGCCCCTCCAGCCCATACGCCCACGCAGGCACCTCCTCTGCTGCACCTCCCATTCCCCTCCTCTTCTTTTTCCTCCTCCTATTCTTTCTCCTCCCAAACACCCTTACAATCTCCTCCTGTACAAGCCCAACCCCCTCCAGCTTACCTGTGATCTTAGTGGCGACAATCTCTCCGCCCTGTACAAGCACATTCAGAATCTCCACACCATGGGGCCCATACTCGCCCGTCCACAGCCCCTCCAGCCCATACGCCCACGCAGGCACCTCCTCTGCTGCACCTGCACCTCCCGTCCCCCCTCCTCCTCTGCCCCTTTCTCCTTTCCTTCCTTCTCCTCTGCTCTCTCCCCTGCGCTCCTCTGCGCATCCATCCCCATCCATCATCCACCCTTCATGACCCTCCGTCCCACCCCCTGCTCCCTCCGTCCAACCCCCTGCTCCCTCCGTCTCCCTCCGTCCCCTCCCCTCCGCCCTCCGCCCCTAGAACCTCCTCCTCCATCCCATCCGCGCCCATTCCTGCGCCCATACCTACGCCCATACCTGCGCCCATACCTACGCCCATACCTGCGCCCATACCTGCGCCCATTCCTGCGCCACTACCCGCCTGCCTCCTCCCCGCCCCCCTGCGCCTCTCCCGCTCCTTCACTCCACGGGTCAAAGGCACACGACTGTAGCTTGACTTAGGCACAGGCAGCCGTCTCACCTGCCCGCTCACCTCATCAACCATCCCCCCCTCCCCTCCGCGCTTCCACCCTCCCCCGAACCCCCCTCCCTCGAATCCACCTCCCTGGAAACCCCCCCCTCCGCCCCCTCCTGCTCCGCCTATCCAGGACCACCCGTGGCCGCCAGAACTACCCGCCCCAGTTCCGCCTGCCCCAGTTCCGCCTGCCCCAGTTCCGCCTGCGCCAGTTCCGCCTGCGCCAGTTCCGCCCGCCCCCGCGGAGCTGCTGCTGCTGCTGCCGCCTGGGCCCTGGCTGCTGCTGCCCCCACCGTTGCCACTGCCGGATGCTAGCCCTTCTGCTACTAGAAACGCGCCGAACGCCCTCGGCTGCTGCTGCTGCTGCTGCAATGGTTGCTGCAGTGACGGCTGCAGTGCAGGCATGTGCCCGGAGAGCTGTCCTCGCGACCCACCAGTCCCCACTCCTGCAAGTGCGTATGCCATCGCACTACCACCCCTCCCAACCTCAGACCCGCTCCTGCCTCCTGCTTCTGCTTCTCCTCCTCTCCCTCCCTCTCTCCCATGCTCCCTACCTCCCCTACTAGCATTGTTGGTACCGCCCCCGTTGCCCCTAGCTGCAGTGCCGCGGCCCAGCCCTCTCCCTGCCCCTGCTATTCCCGACAGGTACTGCAACGCTCGCATCTGCAGCCCTCGCCCTGCGCCGCCGCCACCAGCAGCAGCCACCAGAGGAGCAGCAGGAGCAGCAGGAGCAGCAGGACCAGCAATCGCAGCCGTAAGGGCAGCAGGAGTAGCAGCAGCAGCAGGAGCAGCAGCATCATTGGGAGCAGCAGCAGCAGCAGCAGCGGCAGTCCATCCTGCTGACGCTTCCCTGAAGCCGGGGCGATCCCGAGCCTCGGCTCCCAGCCACATAGATCGTGACACGTGGCGGCCCAACAGAGCATCTCCAACCTCCTGCTGCCGTCGCTGCTCCTCTTGCCGCTGCTGCTGCTCCCCATTATCGGCTGCTCCCGTTGCATTTCCGGCAGCAGAAACATTAGCACTCCCAGCAGCAGCAGCAGCAGCTCCGGCTCTGGCGAGTGTGCTGCTGGTATTGGAGGGAGCGTTTACCATATATCGCGCCAGCAGGGGGTTCAAACGCGCTGCAGCGGCAGGGGAAACAGGAGCAGCCGCAGCAGCAGCAGCAGCAGCGGAAGCAGCAGCAGGAGGAGCAGGGGCAGCAGAAGATGAAGGGGCGGGCGCAGGTGAAGAGAAGGCAGCATTCGGTGCAGCAAGGCGAGCAGACGACGATCCAAACAAACCAGCCGCATTCCCCCAAGACGCAGGGCGGGCGGCAGGGAGGAGGGTTTGCAGGTGGAACCTCTGTCTTTCGGCCGTCTCCCATACAAGCACACCCGGTAACTCCACAGTGTGCTGCTCCTCCAGCCCACGCCCGGCTAGGAGGCGCAGCTGCGTTGTTCCGTCGGGGAGGGCTGAGATGAGGAAGAGACGCGCGCACAGCAGAGACCCGTCTGGAGGTGATTGGTTGGAGGGGGGGAAGGTGGGGGGGGAGGGAGGGGGAGAGCACATTAGCCAATAAAGAATACGAAATCTGAGGAGCCTAGAAAATCGCAGCTGCGCGGTTCCGTCGGGGAGGGCGGAGATGAGGAAGAGACGCGCGCAGAGCAGAGAACCGTCTGGAGGTGACAGGGAAGGGGGGGGGAGAGAGGGTGGGGAAAGCGGGGTGGGGGGTGGGGGGAGAGCACATGTGGAAGATTGGCTGCTAAAGAAGATGAAATTTGAGGCGATTCAGAAATCGCAGCTGCGTGGTTCCGTCGGGGAGGGCTGAGATGAGGAAGAGACGCGCGCAGAGCAGAGAACTGTCTGGGGGCGAGAGAGGGGGAGCGGTGAGGAAAAGTTGCCAACTCTCAACTTAACTCGTAACATGGATAACATAATTTTGAATTCTCAAGAAGAATTGTTCTGCGGAAAACTTACCAAGCCAGTCAGGAATGATGCGATAAGCGACCATTGACATCTTCTCCTGATAGAACGAGCAGAAAACGGATAGAACGACAAAAAGGGGAGCAGAGCATAAATGGGTTAGAGAGCAGACCAAGTCATGGAAAACGTGCCGCGCGTTGAGCTGCGAAGCAACGAACGAGGTGGGTGATGCGGTGAAGCGACGCAAGGCGTTCAAGTTGAAGCAGCTACTAGAAGACATGACTAGCCGGCGCGTCGCCACTGCTACGGAAGGCCTACAGTCATGTTTTGACCTCGTGCTACAGAAACGCAAAAATTAAGCTTCAAAACAAACAGACAAACGCAATGCAGCAGCGATGACAAGAAATAGTAATAGAAATTAAGGTTTCTCACCCAACTAGCAAATAGCAGACCGCCGCGTGGAGCCAAGTCATCAGCAGCCCATACTCCAGCCAATGGATCGAGAGCGTTCAAGAGACGGAAGAGGCATTTCGGGGAACTCGTCTCGACGAGCCAATCTGAAATCGCCACGTCGGACTCCCACTGCTTGCACAAATTCAGCCAGACTTGGGGTCGATTAGCTAATGAGTGCAGCGTGCGACACGTGGCAGCGGCAGATAGTAGATCCTGATACTCTAGCTCGTGAAGAATCTGAACAATCACATCCGTTGGTAAGAGTAAAAGGTCCATTTCTTTTCCGCGTTTGTTTTCCTCGTGATTCTAAGTCGACAGGTGAAGATAGGAGGGTTGTCAATTGCTGGAAATTCGTCGATGGATGCTACCCGGCCTCGCACGTCAGAAGGGAGAACGAGCGGAAATCACGCAGTAATTCTGGAGGCAATAAACCTAAACACCCTGAAACTGTACATTTCTCAAGTCGGCGCAAGCAGCAGCTTAGGAACAAAGCGGTTCACGCAGCATCTCAATCATTCTTGAGCAAATGCTGCTCACGACGACGTTCCCCTCTAATAGAAGCTACTCTAATAGAAGCTACTCACTAGCGATGACAACACGACGCAAGAACGTGAAACCCCAAATCAGGCCGTGAATTTACTTCCGCACTTCACCTCACCTCACCCATGTGTGCCTACGGTCTAGCCAATCATCTAATCAACGACAGTAACACCTACGTCCCTCATTGGCTGAACTCACACGCTCTTGCCGAAACGAAACGAAACGAAACAAAACGAGAGGGAGTGCGTGAACGGATCAGATCAGACTGGAATATGATGTAGGGAAAGGAAGGAGGAATGGAGGGAGGTGAAGTCTCGAAACGGCAAGCAAGGGCAGCCGTCCGTTAGCTTGTGGGGATCTAAGGCGTGATCTCAACCTATTTGCTCTGTCGCCGAACTTTTTATTTGTACAGATCCATCCCACATCACTGTACCTTCATCCTTCAGTCAGAAATGTATTGTGAAGAGCCTGTCATGTCAAGCCCATTAGAGAATACAGTAATAACGGACTGTACATAATGTATTGGTCCCTTTCTAGTTACGGTCAGAACAGACCCACCCAAGATTCTTTTCGATCAACCCACACCACTCGTTTCAGGGCAGGACCATCTGGAGGTGAACACTTGTGTGTGAGCCACCTCCACCTTGCAAAACTGTTCACTGGCCAAAAAGCAGAACGAACCCAGGTTGATCATGGACGGTGGCATGTCGAGCCACGAGTTTTGGCTCGACTGGTAGGCTTGGGTCAGCGCCGATAATCCCGACCGTGTATTCCAAGCGTCGATGTTTATTGCTTCAAAACGCGGGAAAGTGCACCAGTAAGGGCAAGTCAATGGGGCAGTCACAAGTGTATTACTAAGTGTACATATACTACCTGATGAATACACACTTGTTTACCTTAACACCACCTTACAATGCACTCATCCATGCATTATCGTTAGCTGACAGCACAAGCCCACGTAAGACAGCAGCGAATCTAGCACTACATGACATTCTGCTTCTCCAGTCTTTCCCTCTCCACTATATGTGTGTAAACCAATTCATTCCACGTGTCTGGAACGCCCGGTAAGCACCAATGTAGGCAGTCTTGTCCCTTGGATGTATCGTATCGGGGATCCCAGATGGCTGGGTGTGCATCACCACGGTAGGCCGACAGGTGCGTGATGTTCAGCAGGTGTACTGAAGTTCCCAACACTCCATCCTCTTTTTCAGGATCCCTTGTTGTCATATTGGCCACCTCCGCATCCCCAAAGGCATGCTGCATTGCATATTCAATGGTAAAAAAAAAAAAAAAAAACAACAACAACAACAACAACAAACAAACAAACAAACAAACAAACATATCAACTATCATCAGGGACTCGTAAGGCAACGTCTGACCATACCAAACCATCACAAACCGAATGTTATATATGCATGAACACATATAACTACCAAATCTGAACAAAAACACTATCACTACGCACCTTGAGATGGTCGCATCGCCCTCCGGTGTCCCACTCTCCCTCCATGAAATGCCTCGGCGTAATCGATCGCAGAAACACCATCGGCTTCGTGTCCGGCGTCGCAAAAATCGCCGTCCTCAAATTCGCACCCCCACCTGCCGCAAAAGCTGGAAGCTCCACAGCCGAGCCCAACTGCCGCCTCACTCCCTCCCCTCCTTCCTCTCCCTCTCCCTCCTCCTCTCCCTCCCCTTCTCCTTCTCCTGGCTTCACCAGCAAACCTCCCTTTCCCCCGCTGAGCCCGCTCCCATTCAGCTGTTCATCAATCCACACAGACACCGACCGAATCGCCGTTTTCAGAGCCATTGCCATCACCATCGGCCGCCTTCTCACGGGCGGCGCCGGGCTTCCATTCAGGAAAAACTCCAGCGCACTGTCTTTCATCTTGCCCCGGTTCCAGTGATGCCCGGTGTTCATCACCACCACATCCAGCTCCTTAAGAAAGTCTCTTAAGAAAGTGTCGGGCCGGTCTAAGTGCATCGCTTGGCCCTGCTTCCAATCCTCCTTATTGAACGGCTCGATTTCGCACAAACACGTCGTCCAGCGGAAAATCACTGTAGTGTTATACTTCACAAATCTGTACGCCCACCCGGTCGGGCGGCGGGCCCCGGGCAGCTGAAAAAACCCATAGTCCGTGCCCACGTCTTGGATGGGGGATGCGGGGTCGGACATGTTTTTGGGCGGGCCTTTTGGGGAGAGCAGGCAGAGCAGCGACTGGAACTGCTGCTGGCCTAGCGAGTCCCCCACAAAGGCAATGCTCTTATTGCGCATTCTGAGAGGGTTTGGGGGATCAAGGAGGAGGGGGAAAATGTGGAGTAAATGAGACGTACGTTGAGCAGGCAGAGCAGCGATTGGAACTGCTGCTGGCCTAGCGAGTCCCCCACAAAGGCAATGCTCTTGTTGCGCATTCTGCAAAGGGTGGGAGTGGTTAGGCAAGAAGCAGCAAGGCAGGGAACAAATTCTCGGGTAAGTGCTACAGACAGAGTGACTGAAACTGCTGTTGGGAGGGTTGGGGAACAAGAAGGGGTTGCTGCTGGGCCAACCCGTCCCCCACAAAGGCAAGGTGCTTGTGGCGCATTCTGACAGGAAAAAGGAAAGGAGGTCAGAATGGGGAAGGTGAGTGGATGGGGCAGAGGAAGCAACTGCTGCTGGGCCAGAGAGTTCCCAACAAAGGCAAGGCGCTTATTGCGCATTCTGCAAGGGGAAGGACTGTATGGGGTAGCTGGGAAAAAGAAGCAGGGAGGGCGGAAAACAGGGTATAGGTAGGTTAAGAGTATAGACAGAGCAGCGTGGGGAACAGGAAGGAGCTGTTGCTGGCCCAGGGTGTCGCTCTCGCAAATCACACTCTAGTCCCATTTTGAGGCGCCTCAAAGTCACTTTGAGGCGCCTCAAAACAGGAAGGAGCTGTTGCTGCCCCAGGGTGTCGCTCTCGCAAATCACACTCTATCCTCACCCTTCTTACCTTCCTCTCTCAGAAATCACACTCTATCCTCACCCCTCTCACCATCCACTCACACAAGTCCAAGACCCTTTCACACTGTCCTCTCACCCCCACTCCCTCTCATCAGAAAAACCCTATGCACTGAACCGCCATTGCACCCGCACGTTTGTCAAACCGTTACTCACCACTCCAACATCCGACTGCACCTCTGTATTCCTACCCCCATTGCCTCTCGGTACTTCTACCCCCGTTCTCTGTCTGTACTCCCACCCCCATTCTCTGTCTGCACCTCGGTACTCCTACCCCCATTGCCTCTCCCACCCCCATTGCCTCTGTATTCCTACCCCCATTGCCTCTCGGTACTCCTACCCCCGTTCTCTGTCGGTACTCCCACCCCCATCCCTCTCTACTCCTAACCCCTTCCCCCTCACGACCTGAAGAACCCCATTGAGGAGCCTGGGAAACCCTGCACCTGACCCTGCTCTCACCTCCTTCAAGATTTTATTTTGTCAGACTCAAAAATCGTCTCACCTCCTGAATCTGGGTTTTACTCGACTCAAATATCGTCTCACTTCCTGATTTTTCTTTTGGCGACTCAAAAATCGTCTTACCTCCTAAAGTACCCTCCTGCGCTGCTTCACGTTGCACCCGCGCGGCTGCCAGCACAGGCGCTCGTGCTTGCGCTTACAGACCCTTCACACCATCCCCCCGGCTCTTCCCCCATTCCCCCTCACCTGCGGAAAAAGCCGTCCGCGATGAAACGCTTCGCGTTGCACCCGCGCGGCTGCCAGCGCAGGCGCTCGTACGCGCGCATCTCGCCCGGGCGGTTGCTGCGCGCGCACGCCCAGTTTATCGAAATCCACTTGCACTTCTTCCCCGAATACAGCGCGCGCTGCCGCGTGCGCACCCACCGCCCGTGGTACAGGTCGCACAGCGGGGCGGCGGGGGCGGCGGGGACGGCGGGGGAGGTGGAGGAGTCGGCGGCGGAAGGGGAGGAGGTGGCGGCGGGGAAGGAGGCGGCGGAAGGGGAGGAGGGGGAGGAGGAGGTGGATTTGAGAGTAGACTCCGAAGGGACGGATGGAGAAAAGGGGTCGCTACTGCTGCTTCTAGCGCTGTCGCTGCTGCTTCTAGCGCTGTCGCTGCTGCTCCTAGTGCTACTGCTGCTGTTGACGGTGTAAAAGGCTTCATTAGCGCTGTTGGAAACGGCCTCCTCCTTTTCATTACCCCCTCCTTTGTCACTTCGACCCGCCTTCTTGCCGCCCTTATCCACTCCACTTTCAATACTATCACCGCCTTCAGTATCACCCGCCTCACTAGCGTCCCCACCGCTTCCGTCACTACTGGTACTGTCACCGCCGCTATCATCACCAGTTTCGCTTCCATCAGATTCCGCCCTAGGCAAACCAGCTAACCCTTTTCTCAAACGGCTAGCTAGTACAACTACCGAGTCAGCTCTTAGAGGAGACCTAGCGGACAGCACCTCTCCAACCTGGCTATTCGACTCCTCCTCCTGTTGGCTATGCAGGGCAAGTCCGTGATTGTGAAAAGACGAACTGTGACTATAAGAAGATGAGGAGACGGATCCGTTGTCGAGAATCCCGAGCTCACTTCTCCTCCACCCTACAGTGAGGCGGCCGAGGGATGAGGGGAGGGATGAGGGGAGGGATGGGGGAGAGGGATGGGGGAGAGGGATGGGGGAGGGAGGGAAAGGAAAGGTGAGGAGGAAGTAGAGGGATGGGGGAGAAGGATGAGGGAGAGAAAGGAAGGAGTCGGAGGAGGGAGGGGGATAAGGGAGAGGGATGGGGGAGAGGAATGAGGGATGAGAGAGAAAGGAGAGAGATGGGAGGGATGAGGGAGAGGAACGGAGAGGGAGGACGCAGAGGGACATGTGAGAAGGAAGGACGAAAAAATAACATCTACAGCGCGAAGGAGACGAGCGCGAAGGACGAAGGACGAAAATATAGCATTTACAGCGCGAAGGAGAGCGAGCGTGTGTGGAGGGAGAGGCAAGGAGAGGTGAGCGAAAGGGAATGGGCGTGTGTGGAGGGAGTAAAGGCGAGCGAGGGGGCATGAAGTGGGGGGTATGGACGACGGAAAGAGATGGTGAAGGAAATTGTGGAGACTACTCGTGAGACGAGAACTGAATCCAGATTACTCAGCGCCTATTGAGTCGCCAAAAAACACCGTGAAGCCAAAAACTCGAACATAGCTGATACTTCACAGCGGATTATTCGGTTCCGTAAGCCCATAAGGATGCTTTTGTAAGCACCCAGACATGGGAACGGATAGGTTTCAAGCGTGTTTCCTTTTGGTCTTCACACAAACGCCTGCTGAGAAACTCACATTTCGCCCGATTGCTGGCGTGAAACGAATCCCGCGTCATAAAGCCCAGTATCGTGAGAAGCACCAGCGCCGCCGAACAGGTCGTTATCGCGTGCCACCGAGCTCCTCCGCAAATCCCGGCGCCGCCTGTCTTCCCACCGCCCATGGCCGCCGCCAGAGCCGAGAGGGAGCGAGAACGGGATCGGTTGGAAGGGATGCTGAGAGGTGAGCCTTGAATATTCCCGGTGGCTGCAGCTGGGCGAGTGCATTACACGAAGCAAGCGAAAACGGACGATAAGGATACGGAACGAGAAGCTTTTTAAGTCGAGTCGTAGATTAGGAATGGACGACGAGGCTACGGTACGGAGCGAGAAGCAGAGCTTTCCAGTAGAAGGTATCTAACAATGAATGAGGAAGAAACGATGGAGCGCACCGTACCTGAATCACGCCGATCCTGAATCACGCCGATCCTGAATCACGCCGATCCTGAATCACGCCGACCCTGAATCACGCCGCACCTCAATCACACCGTACCTGAATCACACGTTGCAACCGTACCTGACGGCCGTCGCGCGTGCGCAACTGCCGAAGCCTCGCTGGGAGCTGACGCCACCGACACTGATAGCGCCGTCGGTCGCGATCGCGCCGACGAGGCCACCTCCATCTTCTCGTCTCCTTACGCGACAACGAGATAAGCTTGCTCTTGAGCTTTGAGACGTCCCAAAACTTCTTATCGTCTCCTGAAGCGACAACAAGTCGAGTTTGCTCTGGAGCTGAGGTGGCGACGTCGAGTTTGCTGGTAACGATGACTTTGTGCGAAACGGATGCTGATTTAGCCGACACAGCCTACCAGGCACGAATAATTCTCGAATACGCCTCGAGAACTTCTTTCCTAAAGCTGACGCCACACTCGAGATTCGAGCTGCTGAAGGCGAGCGGCTCCAGGGCGTAATCTCATTTAGTTGAAATTTTCGGCTTGTAATGACCACTCATTACCAGCGAAAATGCTTAGGCGAAGCCAGTCATACTGTATAAGACCAAGACTTAGCTAGTACAGCCGGCTGGCCGCGTGGAACCGTTGATTATAAGTAGGTTCCGAATTTCTAAAACTATCACGGGTCGGAAATAGGTCAGCTGTTCCTCACAGTTTCCCTACACTCTCTCTCCAAAAGTCACCGCTCACCAGAACCTCTTTAGGAGCTTCCGTTGGGTGTCTGCAAGATCTAATGGCTAATTCTCGGTTTCCAGTCACAGCTGAGGCTGGAGAATTCTCGAGGAACTTAGCTAGAGCTCGTGGTTTGTGTCCAAACCACATAGGTTCACTGCCGTGGCAAGCAACTCCACTGATGTGTACGGATCGACTTGTCTAATTCAAACTGGTGGTATAGTCTGGTACCGGACGGTTCGATACGTTACAGAACGTTTAAAAACGGGATCTCTCGTTCGAAAAGTAATCCCCAGATAAAATCGTAATGTGCGCACACCGGTTTACGTCCAGAATCAAGTCGCACAAAGCCCAGCCTGACCTGTCCTGTCTCCGGAGTTTGTGGAACCGACATTGGACATCGCAAACTCGTGAACTCACGAATTCTTGCAAGAACGCAAGTGGCTGTTGATAGCGACACGGCAGCCGCCGCGACACAATCGGAGCTCTCCTTGTTCAGGTTCGCGAACGTCGCTGTAGGGATTCTGTCAGAGGAGGATGTCGTTCACCTTCGACGGACAGCCGCAGCCAACACTGAGTACTACGCGCTTCGGCAGTCATCGCGCGGGAAAACCTTTCGGCACTCGCGTCGATTTTGGTGATTGACCCTGGCGTAGGTTCGTTTCTTGACGGGTTTTAGAAAGGTCAGAAAATATTTTGCAGGCTTTCAGTCCGGTACCAGATCGATATTGCACGATCGATCGCCGAACCTGATGCGAGTGTCCGCGTCCTTATGTGCGAGAAACCCGAGTTAGAGGTGTTCCCACGTTTGGAGGACAAGTGAGTTTGCCCACGCGTCTCGCAAATTTCCAATGTTGTAAATTATGAATGGTTGCGGCTCCTAGTCTAGACACCATTGCGCAAACAATCTGGGTCGTAAGATCCGTCATGGGCATTGCGCGACGCAGTCGATCGCGAGCTTGCGGAGATTAACTCTACAACGGTGGGAGCTAGACTGCGGGGTAGGCACTGGTTGTAAGACCGATCATAGCTCTCTATGTGTTCTCTAGGACTTGTGTGTTCACAGGGCAAAACAGCAAGAGTTTCACTAGGAAAGTTGAGAATGTTGACGGGAGTTGGCCCCGCCCTCGCTTGGGCAAAACTGACTATGTGGTCGGGTGAGTGGGAGGTGCAGCCGACCCTCTGCAGTACGCGAGATCTGGAGCTTCTGCGCAGGTTGGGACAAGGACCTCGTGCACAAGGTGAAGGGTTGCATGTACACGAGGTGTACTAGGGAACCCATGCAGTAAATGAAGCACCCGCGAGTGCAACGCAAACGTCTCGTGCACATGTGCAAGTGGCGCAGCTGGTGCAGAGGTTCGCGGGTGTTCGTTTGGGGAAATTATGTCAGTCGTGACGAACATAGGGCTCGATAACGCGTACGGTAACCCGATCGCGCAAACGGTCACTATATCGGAAGTGTTCGCGTGTTTGGTAAGTGGTGTAACGCGTTTGGTCACTAATGACTGGCGCTGAATCACGCGAATGGTCACAGATGAAACCCTCGACTGATCTGACGGCTCTAATTCCAACTTTTCGGTTCGCTTTCCTGGAGCGTCGATTTTTCTGAAACAATGTATCCCGTCGGATCTGACATGTATCGATCGAACGGCCCAAGATCCAACTTCATACTCTATGTGCAATTACCATACGCGCAAATGTTTATCCGCTAAAACATATTAAGTTTAATATCAAAAGTCATCTGCTACCAGTAGAGAATCAAAATGTCTTTTAACACTCTTCGACTTCATTTACCAGGTGAACCCAACAGGTGTTCCAGGTGGTATTAAGTTCGTTAATATTTGTGGGCTATAAAGGGTACTCAACAAGTCTTTGTTTTAATCAGGGTGTAAAACAGAGTATCCAGCGGTGAGCAATACGTGAGCCGTTCGATCTGATAAAGTTTGATCCGACAGCTTAAACTAAATCGTGGGGAATCGACGCTCCAGAACAACGATTAGAAAGTTGGAATTGGAGCCGTCAGATCGGTCGAGGGTTTCATCTGTGACCATTCGCGTGATTCAGCGCCAGTTATTAGTGACCAAACGCGTTACACCACTTACCAAACACGCGAACACTTCCGATATAGTGACCGTTTGCGCGATCGAGTTATCGTACACGTTACGGAGCCCCATGTTCGTTACGACTGACATAATTTCCCGTTCGTTTGCGCAGGGTCGCGTCTGATCCTGCGCACCCACGCGAATGCACAAGAGAATTTCAGCTAGAAATTCGAATGTGCCCTAATTTCGACCAATGAGGAGCCGGAATTTCAGAATGTCGACCGAGGTGGTCGACGAAGGTCGTCGACCCACGACGACGAAGGTCGTCGACCCACGACGACGAAGGTCGTCGACCCACGACGACGAAGGTCGTCAACCGATGATGACGAAGGTCATCGTCCTGCAGGGTTGCCGGAGACTTTACCCGGTCGACCAAGTTACCTGCTCGACGAGGTTCTGCGGAGGTGCACGAACGTCGTCGAGGTTCCTGTGGCGAAGTCGACCGACGTGGCAGCACGTGGTCGACGTGGCTCGTCAGGTGCAACCGTCGGCATGTGGCTGACAACCTGCGCAATGTGCGCGACATTGCACGACGTGCGTAACTGTCTACAAGCACCTGCGAAGTAGGTGCTTGCACATGCGCTTACAATCACCTGCGGGTGCAACGTTGGCAAGCCGCGCGGGTGCTGTGTTGGCAAGCCGCGCGGGTGCATCATTGGCAGGCCGCCATTCTGCAGCATTGACAAGCCGTGCACGAGCTGCGTTGGCGCGCCGCAGACTTGCTACGTTGGCAGGTCGACGACTTTGTCGTGCTGGCAGTCGACCTGACTGTGCACTAGAAAGCCCTGCATCTGATGTAGTCATTCTTGCCATTGCTTGTTCATTCAAAATTCTGTATTCTCAACTTTCCTAGTGAAACTCTTGCTGTTTTGCCCTATGAACAAACAAGTCCTAGAGAACACAGACAGAGCTACGATCACTCTTACAACCAGTGCCTACCCCGTAGTCTAGCTGACTGTGCAAACTATGACGCCTACCCTGGCAGAGGCCGGTGGGGTAGAGGATACGTTAGAAGCACGTCTGGCTGATGCGACGAGACGCCATGGAGATGGCGAGTTCGGGATAGTGCTCCCCTTGGAGGTGGTTCTCCTGGGGACCGACTTGCCATGCGTCTCCTGCGTAGGCGGGAAACTTGCGCGACACACCATTCCCGACAAGGGTTCTGACGCGGAGGAAGCTCTGGCCGTCGTGCACATCGACCTGTGCGGACCGTTCTGGGTGAACGCCAAGGATGGCAGCTTCTACTTCCTTCTGCTGAAGGACCGGAAGACGCGCTACGTATGGGTGAGGCCGGTCGCCAAGAAAAGCAACGTCCTGCAAGTGTTCGAGCAGTGGCTGCTGGTCGTGGAGAGACAAACCAAGAAGTCGGTGATGATGCTCCGCTCCGACCGCGGAGACAAGTTCCTGGGGAAGGACTTCACCAACTTCGTCAACGGCAAAGGCATCGTCCACGACCTGACCTGCCCGTACACTCCGCAGCAGAACGGCATGGCGGAGAGGGAGATGCGCACGGTCGTCGATGCCGTGCGGACGATGCTGCTGCACATGGGGATGCAACACCACGGCCCTGCTCGACAGGCAGGCAAACCCTTCCGCGGCACGTTCGCGGCTATTTCGAGTTAGGCTTTTTTTCAACGGTCAGCCCGCAATCTGCTGTACTTGGGCTTTAACGCTCTGTAACATGAAGGGTTAAGGGTTAGCCTGTCGAACGCGACGTTAACCCTTCAAGTTCAGCCCCCCCGAAAGCTCCCAGCCCCTTCTCTCACGCGTGGACTTTAGCCTAGCTCTAGCCCAGCCCTCCAATCCCCAGAATGGAGGTTGGCCAAGAGCTAGGCTAGGGTTTCATACGGTAGGGAATACCCACCCCGTACTCTACAAAATTTTGCCCACCAGAGCCCGTGCCCTGGCCTCTCCCATCTCTGCCCTGAAAATGTCCCATCCTCCCACAACCAAACCAGCCACCAGGTTTTTTTATTGCCTTGATTTACCCAGGTGCCCATGC